ACTTGGACTTTAAAGAGAATGACAAAATATTTATCCAAAGCATTTATTTGTAGTCAAATATGTTTTATGAAATTTTATGAATATATAACATATGATACTGGTCCGTTACTTGAGGCTGAATGTAATGGATGATGAATAAGCAAGCAGTAAGTTTATTTCTCTAGCAGAATATCATAGACCAAGACTTTGGTTAAATTCTTTTGGGAAGATCATTTCAAAAAATTTCATGTTCAGCTCATGGACTTACAACTTTTTTATTTTATTTTTATGTAATTTTTACATCATTTTTCATTTTTGCACAATGTATGTGTTTGCATTTTGGTTATATTCCCCATACAATTCCCACTCCCCTTTTTTAACCCTAATCCCTTCTCCCCCACCTCCAATAGTGTGTCTCTGGTCTACAGTTCCTTGTTGATTTTAATTTTTTCTTTATTACAATTAGTCTTTTTCCTGGTCCCTTATTTAGGTTTTCTAAATTCCTGCTATGAGTGAGACCATCCGGTATTTTTCTTTTTCTTTCTGATTTATTTCACTGAGCATGATCCCTTCTAGCTCCATCCATGTTGCTGCAGATGGCATGAGTTTATCTTTTTTGATTGTTGAGTAATATTCCATTGTGTATATGTACCACATCTTCTTGATCCAGTCATCTATTTTTGGGCATTTGGGTTGTTTCCAAAGCTTAGCTATTGTAAACAGTGCTGCTACAAACACAGGGGTGCAGGTGCTCTTTGGAATTAATGTTTCTGTGTTCTTTGGGTAAATACCTAGGAGTGGAATTGCTGGATCATATGGAAGCTCTATCTTTAGTAGGTTGAGGAATCTCCACACAGCTTTCCATAGTGGTTGGACCAGTTTGCACTCCCACCAGCAGTGCAGGAGAGTTCCTTTTTCTCCACAACCTCACCAACATTTGTTGTTGCTAGTTTTTAAAATATGTGCCATTCTCACTGGTGTAAGATGGTATCTCATTGTAGTTTTGATTTGCATTTCCCTGATTACAAGTGATGCTGAACGCTGAACATTTTTTCATATGCCTGTTGGCCATTTGTATTTCCTCTGTGGAGAAGTTTCTTTTTAGCTCTTCTGCCTATTTGTTTTTGTTGAGTCTCATTAGCTCTTTGTAGATTTTTGTGATCAGTCCTTTATCATTAGTGTTGTGTGCAAAAATGTTCTCCCAGTTGGTGGGGTTTCTCTTTGTTTTTGTTATTGTCTCTTTTGCTGTGCAGAAGCTCTTTAATTTGATGTAGTCCCAGCTGTTTATCTTTGCCTTCACTATCACTGCTTTGGGTGATGTGTCTGTAAAGATTTTTTTTTTTAAGATTTATTTATTTATTTATACAAGCACCAGGTACAGTCAGAAGCACAGGAGGGTGAGATAATTCACCAGAGCCAGAGCAGGGAGCAGACCAGGCAGACTGGCGAAGTACACTGTCAAGGGGAGCAGCGGGCGGCAGGAGAGGTATGCACACCATGTGGGACTCTCGTCCGGCAGCCGGGGATCGAAATGGCACTGCAGAAGCTGCAGGCAGCTTCACAGCCCAGCGCTCAACCACTGTGCCACCAAGGAGGCCCTATAAAGATGTTTTTGAGGTGCATGTCATGTAGTGTTTTGCCTATGTTTCCTTCTATATATTTTATGGTTTCAGGTTTTATGTCTAGTTCTTTAATCCATTTTGAGTTCGTTTTTGTGCATGGTGTGAGGTAGTAGTCAAGCTTCATTCTTTTGCATGTAGCAATCCAGTTTTCCCAGCACCATTTATTGAACAAACTTTCTTTGCTCCATTGCGCATTCATTGTTCCTTTGTCAATGATTAGTTGACTATAAATCTGTGGGCTTATTTCTGGATTTCCTATTTGGTTCCTTTGGTCCATGTATCTGTTCTCCTGATACCATGCAGTTTTGATGATTATGGCTTTGTAGTATAGTTTGAAATCTGGGAGTGTGATGCCTCCATTCCCCCCTTTTTTTCTCAGGGGAGCTTTAGCTATTTGGGGTTTTTGGTGGCTCCATATGAATTTCATCAGTATTTGTTCTATTTCTTTGAAGAATGTCATTGAAATTTTTCTTGGAATAACATTGAATCTGTAAATGCTTTTGGTAGGAGGGCCATTTTGATAATGTTAATTCTTCCAATCCATGAGCAGGGGATGGCATTCCATTTCTTTGTGTCTTCTTCTATTTCTTTTAACAGTGTTTTCTAGCTTTCTTTGTATTGGTCCTTTACCTCTTTTGTTAGGTTTATTCCAAAATATTTGATTTTTTTTGTTTCAATAATAAAAGGGATTTTTTTTTTCTTCTTGAGATGTATTGTTTGTGTATAGGAAGGCTACTGATTTTTTTGTGTTGATTTTGTATCCTGACACTTTACTAAACTGATTGATTAGCTTAATTAGTTTTTCTTTGGAGTTTTTGGGGTTTTCTATGTATATTATCATATCATCTGAGAATAGTGATAGATTGATTTCTTCCTTCCCTGTTTGGATTCCTTGTATGTCTTTCTCTTGTCTTATTGCTCTGGCTAGGACTTACAGTATTATATTGAAAAGCAGTGGTGAGAGTGGACATCCTTATCTTGTTCCAGACCTTAATGGAAATGCTTTCAACTTTTCACCATTGAGAATTATATTGGCTATGGGCTTGTCATATATGGCCTTTATGGTGTTGAGGTATGTTCCTTGTATCCCAAGGTTTTCAAGGGCCTTTATCATAAATGGGTGTTGTGCTTTGTTGAAAAGCTTTCTCAGCATCTATTGATATTATCATATGGTTTTTATATTTCTTTTTGTCAATGTGTTGGATTACATGGATTGATTTTTGGATGTTGAACCATCCTTGTGTCCCTGGAATAAATCCTACTTGGTCGGACTCACAACACTTTTAAAGCACAATCTCAACATCTATTTTTTTCAAAGACTATTTATTTCTGAGATGACTGCTAATGAAACTGGGATAGATTCAGGATATTTTGTGTTGTCCTATGTTAATTTAGCAGCTGGAAGAATATCAAGATATATTTCCTAAGGCTTTTTGAGGTGTTATTTCACTGGCTTATATGTATTTCATTATTATTATTCCTGCAATGTATTGTATGAGGATGTTGTAACTAAGAAATGAAAGACAATCACACAAAAAATATATGTGGATATAAAGGTGCAAAAAAATTACTTGCCAAACACAATTTTGGTTTAAAAGAGAAATTATAAAAGCAAAGCATTGTAGGAGTAATTAAGGGAAATTTCAGTCAAAATTTTTCGATTTCTGGATTACTTAGAATTAAACAAAGCAATTGCTAATATTTTGGAGACTCTATTTGAAGGTAATAGATAATCATACTATAAATAATGCTCTTTAGAATATAACAGAGTTATACAGCATTGAAGATTATGAAGTTTAGTATGGTTATGGTCTGTGTGCAAATATCTTAGACAGTCTTTAGCACAATAAAATGCTATAATGGCAGAACCCCTGTAATTATCTGTTAGAGCCTCATTAAGTGTTTTAGATAGCAGGGACAATATAAGGAAATTGAAGTAACCATCACAGCATACTATTGTGAAAGAACTGACACATCTCAAAAAATTTAATTTTTCTCAAAGTTAGTATCTTTGTAGAAACAGGACTAGCTCTGTCTATTGGCATACGTCTGCAAGTTCATCTTACCCAAATGACTTAATAGCTAATTAATGATTACTTTATAAGCAGATTAAATAATTATTTTGCATCTGAAAGGTGATGCTATGGAAGGATAACAATCACCACTAGTTATTTGAAGTATAGAATTACTGTAGAATAAAATGAATCCACAAAATTACCCTAGTTCCTGTTGCTGGGGGGAGGGGAGGTTGTCCATCCTGACAGTGACTATGGAATCTAACGGGGGTTGAGAGAAAAATGCCAAACACAAAATAAAAGATCTGCTTCAGACACCCACCTCAGTCATCCCATTATAAAACCATCACCAAAGTAAAGCCCCTAACCTGATCCCTTGTGCCAAACTTTTGTCTTGACATTTTCCATTTGAGGTCACCATGAGTGGTCTTTTCCAAGCTGATTTCACCCAGTAAATGCCTTAGATGAGAAGATAGCAACTGAGTCACAAATAATGATTCACCTCAAAAGAGTAGGTCCTTACTATGCTGCCCAGGCCCTTAGTTTTCATCCAGTATCTTATACAGCCTTGATAACTTGCCTCAGGGAATTTGGAGAATCCTTGTGTCTTGATTTGAATACACAACAATAGTCACTATTCATGCCCAAGTAACTCTGCATGGTGAATGAGAAGGGTTCAGTAATCCTATATGCAGGAATATTTCCATAAATACTTGCCTAGAATATGGAGAATTCAGAATATATAACTATGATCATTTACAGAAATATATATTATTGTGGGCTCTTATTTTTAAAAAGGGCATGTGACAGATAAAAAGCTTTAAAAGCAATATTGACAGTGACATAGTCTAAAACAGTAGATAAATGGCCCAATGCAAAATAAGAGTCAAAAACAGCCACAGCACAAACTGAAAACCTGCTTTGTTTTATTCTTTTCCCATTATCCATATATTCAGAAATATTCTTCTAAAAGTGTTCTCTTGTATATATCTTTAAAAGTCTCAATGTCTAATCATAATTACTGATACGTTAAAATGGACTTGTACTATAACAAAAGAAGTGGACTGTATAACTTTTCCCAAAAATAATTAATTGGAAAGTAGTAAATATGTATCAGTACTCATTAATCTGATACTTCTTTTTTCTGTACTTTGCTCCAGAAGATATATATTTAATATTCATGTAAAGTGCTTTTTTGGCATTAGATCAGTATCTTCTCAGTGAAGAGCCCTTTGATGAAACAGAGTAGAACTTCCTTTCTCCTTTAAGTAGAAGACTGCCTACTTATTCAGTGTCCTTTCTGTCACATTAAAGAACAGGGAACTTTTTATTCTTCCCAAGAAATAGCCTTTCAGATTCAGTAACAACATGTTCTGTTCCTCAGGAAATAAAAGAAGATCGAGATAGGGCGCGGCTGGACTCCATGGTTCTGCTAATTATGAAACTGGACCAACTCGATCAGGACATTGAGAATGCGCTCAGCACCAGCTCCTCTCCATCCAGCACACCAACAAACCTGCGGCGGCATGTTCCTGTGAGCTTTCCACTTTCCACTTTGCCTGTTAGAATGAAGCCTCTTTATTTTACAAAGTCTTGCCATCTTTGATGGCAGCATCTACCTATATCTGACCCTAGTAGTGTTCCATGAAGATCACCCAAATAATTCTTTGATCCATGCAGGGTCCATAAGAGACCTATGTTATTTAAACAAAAATGGTTACTAATAGATAAGGAGGATCACCTTGTGAGATTGTTTTCTAGTGATCAAATCCTCTTCATTGTACCTTATTTCCTTAATTAACAGTCTTCAACAATATGTTTTAAATGCCTTGGCAAAGCTAAGTCTATCTTAGTTGATATTTTATTTCCAGTGTCCCACAAATTTACATTGAACACAGGAGATGTCTAGTAAATATTTTCTTTGTGGGTGGATGGAAGGAAGGATGGCTGAATGGTTGATGGATGGATGATGGGTGGGTGGGTGGGTGGGTGGGTGGATGGATGGATGGATGGATAGATGGACAGATGAATGAATGGATGCTGCTGAAGTCACTCAGTACTCTACAATAAAGAATTTAGATGACAATTTAACTTGAGAACACTCTAAACTTCACTCTGAAATACAATAAGTAGAACAGAGTAAAATTTTATTTTACTTTTTATTAATTTTATATAAGACAGACACTCCTCTGAGATTCTGACATTTAAAATAAAATTTGGAGACTCAGATTCCAGGACCAGCTATACACCTTACATACTTAATATTAGCTTTACAATAAATGCCTTAGTTTGTACACTCTAGAAAATGAGATAAGATACTTTTATAAACTAAGTCGTGAATACATTCTTAGTCTATTACTTTTGTTATGTAATAAGAAATACATTACATCAAGACCAAGGGGATGGAAAACTCTAAATAGGAACACCTACTGTATCAGAATCTTTGATTAATATAGTTCTATTATTGATTCTGAAATCATTCAAGAATCATTCTGATTATGGGGCAGAATATTTCAAAGTAAATAATCAAATTAATTTGATTCCTTCATTGATAGTTGTTGCTCCATCATCTCTCCACAACCCATCTCCTATCTGAAAAATTCATTTACCAATCAAAGTGTATAGGTTGTTTCCATATCGTGAGCAGTGTGAATTATGCTGCAACTAATATAGGATTTCAGATATCTCTTCAAGATACTGATTTCATTTCCTTCATGTATATACTCAGAATGGGATTACTGAGTCACACAATAGTTCTCTATTTAATTTTTGAGGAACCTACATACTCTTTGTCTATAGTGGCTGCACCTTCACATCCTCTTCAACACTTATTAACTCTTATATTTTTTTTCTTTGTAATAGTCATTCTAACAGGTGTGAGGTGATATCTCCTTGTGATTTTGACTTGCATTTTCTTTATGATTAGTGAGTTTGAGTGTCATTTCATGTAACTGTTTGTCATTTGTATGTATTCTTTGGGAAAATGTCTATTCATGTCTTCTACCCATTTTTTAATGGGATTGTTGTTTTTTACTATCAAATTGTATTAGTTCCTTATTTTTTAAATATTAACCCCTTATCTTACATATCATTTGTCAATATTTTCTCGCATTTCATAGTTTGACTTCTCATTCATCTCATTGTGTCTTTTGCTAGGCAGAAGCATTTTCATTTTATACATTCCACTTGTTTACTTTTGATTTTGTCCTGGTTCTTTTGGTGTCAGATCCAAAAAGTTGTTGTTAAGGTCAAGGTCAAGAAGATTTTCTTCTATTTTTCTTCTAGGGGTTTTATCATTTCATGTCTTACACTTGAGTCTTTAATTTATTTTGAATTAATTTTTATGAGTGACATAAGATAGAGATGGGGTCCAATTTCATTCTTATACATGTAAATACCCAGTTTTCCCAACACCTTTTATTGAAAAAAATATCTTTCCTCACTGTGTATTTTTAGTGAAGTTGTCACATATTATCTGATTGTATATGCAGAAGTCTTTTTATGGACTATCTATCATGTTCCTTAGGTCAATGTGTCTGTTTTTATACCAATACCATACCATTTTAATTGCAATAGGATTGTAATATAGTTTATATTAGGATGTGTTATGTCTCTATTTTTGTTCTTCTTCCTCAAGATTGCTTTGGTTGATCAGTGTTCTTTAGTTCCATAGGAATTTGAATTTTTCTATTTCTGTAGAAAATGTCAATGGAATTTTCATAGGAATTTCACTGAATATATATATCACTTCAGGTATCGTAATTTTAACAATATCTGTTCTTCGAAGAACATGAAATATCTTTCCATTACTTTTCCTCTTTAATTATTTTCACCAGTGTCATGAAGCTGTATGCATACTGTTATTATATTGATTTTCAGATGAGAAAATTGAATCCCAAAGCATAATTTCCTCCCTCAAATAGCTTACAGTTTTTTAGATTTATAGATACTTGAGCTAAATGATTCCAGGCCATTGTGATAGGTTTCATCATGGAAATTTAGTGGGTACATAGAAGATTGTATTCTCACGTGCTTATACTTGACCCTATTGTAGAGAGGTGTTAAAGAATTATTCAAGGTTACACAGTCATCACAGGGTGTCTTTGGGCTTCTATTTACTGACTCTTAACTGCAGTGTCCTTGTTGACATCCAATGCATAATAAACTGTTTATTTACTAAAGCAGTATGTTACCTTTTTCTTTTTAGTATTTGCATTCTAAAATTAGAACCTCTGAATAGTACAATCGTCTTTACAAAATAATGCATGAGTTCAGGTGACATGTCAGTGCCAGTTGTCAATAATGTGTTAGTGTGTCAGTGTGTGTTTGAAGGAGGAGTAGGTGAAGAGATACCCATAACAGGGAGAAAGAAATTAGGAAGTATTTACGTGACCTTCATATCAATTCTTTTTTTTTTTCCAAATAGAATCTGGAGCCAGGATCTGAGAGTGGAGCAGATACCACTATAGTAAAGCAGACACAAATAAGTTTGTATTCTAGCACCGAGTCTACTGACCTACCATCTTCCACCACTACAGTGTCCAGTTCGGGAACCAAACCTAAGGCTATGGTAAGTTTAAAATGATAATAGTCAGTTTCAACATTATTTATTATCACCAAGTTAAGAGTTAATATTGATATTGGGGTAATCCATCTATTAGAGTGTGAGTTACAATGACTTGATAGTATTCTGTTAAGTGCCACCCAATATAGGCTATTTACTGGTTTTATAAATAATAAGTACTTCACTGAAACTTAATTATTCCATAATTCCATAATTATTCAAAATATATGGTTTTAAATTTTATTGATGGATACTGAGAAATTTAAAGAACCAAAACTACAAAATCTGGAGATGGATTTCACTGCATTATTATCCTGACCACATAGCTAACTAGTTACAAAAATGACTTTCAAAGATGAGATAGATAAATAAACTTAAAATCATATATATCATACATTCTTACATTTTCTGTGGGTATTGATTACATGTTGCTTGACACAGAATAATTGTTACAAAAAGGTAAACTTCTATCATGATTATGATTTGTTCCATTAACTTTATAATTCTACCAAAATAAATGAAATGGAGAATTACCATATAGACTAATACAGCATGGAGAATTGTGAATAAGAGACATTTTCCTTTAAGTAAAAAGTTGAACTGCAAACAGGAAAGCAGTATTTGACTCTAAGAGGTAACATTTATGGAGGAAGTAATTACTACTTCAAATATCTAAAGTCCCAGCAGCTCCAAAATAAGCTTTCCTAGTTTAGTGAAAATCATAGTGTCATATTATTTTTTTAAATACCCATGTTAGCTTAACATAGAGAAACAAGTTTAAATTGCCTTTCAGATAAAAAGCAAGTCTGAAATAGGACTCAAAAGAAAATACTCTGAATTTAAAAACTACAGATATGTTCAATTATAAGAATATCTAGAGCATGTTTTGATAGAATATGTATGTACTACACACCTATTACATGCCATGCACTATGTCACATAAAAGAGACTCAGAGAGCAATAAAACATATTCTTTGTCTTTAAACAGTTCACATTCTATCCAAGGAAAGTGGACATGTAAGCTATGAGATACAATGACATGCTGTATAGACATTTGGGTACTGTGTATATTGCGAACAGGAGGAACCAGCAACGTACTCAAAATGCTATTTTGTACTATACTAAAAAAAAAAAAAAAAATAACAAGGTCAAAAATAGCATGTGCCAACACGCTAACTCAATGAAAAGGTGTAAAGGTGTTCTTTTTCACAATGGGTAAAGAAGTTTGAAGTGCAAAATTAAAATCGGAACCCAGTGATCTTATTTTTACCACATCCTCATTAAGGAAAAAGATAAAAGCCTTTGAACAGTTTTAATCTGAAGGAATATTTTTTGAAGGTTTGAGAACCATTGAAACAGTGACTTTCTGAACAATGGGGACAGGTGCAGGGCTGACTTGTAAAAGTAGAAAAGAAGGTGAATTCGTATTTGTTTTCTTACAGTATTGTTAATTTTTGGACAGTTGTTTGAGTTCTCCCCTCAGGTATAGTCCCTGTAGGTGAATTCACACTTTAAAGATGTTATTTTTGAATTCATCTTTTAAGCTCCTGCCATTTTCTTAAAAAGCAATTTCACTATGATATTGATTCCATGTTTATCTTTTACTTTAGAATAATAACCAACAGCATCTACTTTTTCTCCTTTAAAACACACATATTTTAGTATGCAATCACCTTGTAATTTACAACAATTTATACAACTCTGTGTGCAATTTTCAGTCTTTCTTTAATAATTGCATGTTTATAAATGTGGCCTGTATATTTCCATTGAAGTTTGTAGATGTTTTTATAGTAACTGCCTTTAGTAAATTTTTGAATGGGAATCATAAAACAGTCATTTGTCCCAGAACTTCATCCCTTAGAGTGTTTTATGGTGGAATCTTTCTCAAATGTTTTATGTTTTACCATATCAATTGACCATACTGCTCACCCACAGAGAAAGTTAAGAAAAACTAAAATGAATTACTAAACAGAAACACTTTTCATACAGCCCAAATCAAGTATTTTCCTGAAAAGTTGTCAAATTTGTATAAAATCAGAAATGAATATGACCCCACCTGTTCAGGTATGAATTGTTACTGGAGTACACAATCACTGCTTTGTCATGATGCCACAACTTTTTAGTCAATAAGCAATGAGAATGATTATGCAATTGACTTGGCCTCCAAACACAATATTCCACTTTAAGACAAGCAAAAACTGCTTAACACACCTTGACCAGAGTCACTGGTAGAGTTAGACAATTGGACATGCAGCCACAGAACTATAGTTCAGGAAAGTTCTCCAGCAAGCCATGAGAAATACCCTGAAAGAATATTCTATTCTCAAAGGCAGTTGGCTTTTGCAAAAATTCTTAAAGAAAATGGTCAATAATGAAGGTAATTTAAAAACCGGGCTTTTGGGCCTCCCCGGTGGTGCAGCGGTTGAGCGCTGGGTTGCAAAGCTGCCCGCAGCCTCTGTAGCGCTGGTTCGATCGCTGGTTCGATAGATCCCTGGTTGCTCCCGGCCACAGGAGGAGGGTCCCACATGGTGCGTAGCCCTCTCCTGCCGCCCGCTGCTCCCCTCAGCAGTGTACTTCGGTCCTTCTGCCTGCTCTGCTCCCCGCTCCGGCTCTGGTGAATTCTCTCACCCCCGCGTGCTTCTGACTGTACCCAGTGCATGTATAAATAAATCTTTAGAAAAAAAATAAATAAAAACTGGGCTTTTGTTTTGGGGGAAGTGTTGTTTTAGTTTTTTATTAATTTATTTATATATACATATATTTTACATAATTATTCATTCTTGTACAATATTTGTTCTCTCCTCTCAGGTGTAGTCCCCATAAAACTCCCACCACCAATTCACCCATGAACCATCATCACAGTCCCTTGTGCTCTTCCCTCCCCTGTTTTGCTCCCTTTCCCTTCCCTACCCCTGCAGAATGTCTCTGATTTATAGGTACCTGTTACTTTTGTTTTTTTATTTATTGTATTATAATTATATTTTTTCTGTTTGCTTATTTGGTTCCCCTCTATATTCCTCCTGTAAGTGCAGCCATCTAATATATTTCTTTTTCCTTCTGAATTACACTGAGCATAATCCCTTCCAGCTCCATCCATGTTGCTGCGAATGGCATGAGTTTATCTTTTTTGATTGATGAATAATATTCCATTGTGTATATCTATCACATCTTGATCCAGTCAACTGGTTTTGGGCATTTGGGTTATTTCTATATATTACCTATTATAAATAGTGTTGCAGTAAACATAGGGGTACAGGTATCCTTTTGAATTAATGTTTTTGTGTCCTTCGGGTAGGTTCCTAGGAGTGGAATTACTGGGTTATATGGTAGTAAATTACTACCATTTTTAGTAGTCTGAGGAACCTCCACACAGCTTTCCATAGTGGTTGGACCAGTCTGCATTCCCACCAGCAGTGTAGGAGAGCTCCTTTTTCTCCATATCCTCGCCAGCATTTGTTGTTGCCAGTTTTTTATAATATGTGCCATTCTCACTGGTGGTATCTCATTGTGGTTTTGATTTGCATTTCCCTGATTATAAGTGATGAACGTTTTTTCATATACTTGTTGCCCATTTGCATTTCCTCTTTGGAGAAGTATCTTTTTAGCTCTTCTAGCTATTTTTTGACTGGATTGTTTACTTTGTTTCTGTTGAGTCCTATGAACTCTTTATAGATCTTTGTGATCAGTCACTTAACAGTTGTAGGGAGTGCAAATATTTTCTCCCAATCAATAGGGTGTCTCTTTGTTTTGGTTAATGTTTCTTTTGCTGCACAGAAGCTTTTGAGTTTGATGTAATCCCAGCTGTTCATCTTTTCCTTGACTTTCTTTGCTTTGGGGAATGAATCCTTTAAGATATTACTGAGATGTATGTCATGTAGTGTTTTGCCTGTATTTTCTTCTGTCTATTTTATGGCTTCAGATCGGATATTCAATTCTTTTATCCATTTTGAGTTGTTTTTTATGCATGGTATGAGGAAGTGTTGTTTTATTTCATGTGTGTGCATTTTTATTTTTTGTTGTTATAGGTGGTATTATTTTTTTGAGTACTCCCTTTTTAACAATAGTTTGAAAATAATTCTTGGACCATGTATAAATTTTGATGTTCCTGAATAGTAATATTGGAGAGACAAATATTATCTATTTCATGAAAGATTAAACAGAAATTTTCTGCTCAATTTAGAGCTTAAAGAATCGATATGTACTAGCAGTCTGGTAGTTTAGGGGATAGAAAACTAGTATCCTACAGAACTATTCTAATCACCATGAACTAAATTTCAATTTTAATATTAAGTAGAAGCATTCAATTCTAAGAACACCTACTTCTAACATCCAACCTTAACGAACTAACTCTCTGCTCTATAATGTCACCTTTTTACAGCCTGCTTACTTTTATTTCAGATTTATTTAATGTTACATTTGATTTGCTGCTGTGAAGTCTATTTTTAATGGTGACTAACTCCCACAAATATTTGGCTTTCCTTTTGTGTGGAAGGTCTCTGGGTTTCTAAGTGCCTATTTTTCAATAAGATTTATTCTTTTATGTTTATTATTAGAATCGGGCCAGTGAGAATTTTCAGAATTTTCACAAATACTACATATATATATATATATATATGATGATGATGAAAATTGAGCATTAAAGTAGGTTTCTGAGATGTATTTCACACAAAAATGAGAAAATTAACTGTGGGATATCCACTAACGAAAAAAAAAAATCAGGGAAAAAAGGTCTAGTACTTGTCAAAAAAACTCATCTATTTCTCTCCCAAGCTCTTTGCTGCTTTGACTGTCTCCAAAGGCCTCTCATACAGACACTTCTGCAAACAACCCGTGAGTGGTCATTGTATCATTTTCTATAAAGGGCTTTGATTCCCTGTATAGCAATATACTGACATCACTTTGGCAAAGCTGTTCAGTTTCTTCAGTTGTTCCATGAAAGATTTTTAAGCTAGACACTAAAACCTCAGAAGTTTAGTTGTTACTCTTTTTCCAAAAGATACTTAAAG